CTCACCTATTATTGCCGGCAATGCTATCTGCCTAGACTACTAGCCGCTGTGTGGATGTTGACGGGGCTCGAGAATGAGCTCCAAGGCAGAGCGAAACGAGTGAGTTCCGTTAGCGGTCGGGTGAACGCTCATCAACTAGTGTTGGTCCGTTAGACAAAAACAAATTTTGGCCCAGAGGGTCTTTGGACGGTTAAGACTCCTCCTCCTGTCCTTAGTTATTCGTTTATTATTTAGTTGTATTCGTTTCAGTTTCGTTAGGTTAGTTTCATTTGAGTTAAGTTTTTTTGGCAAAGGTAGCTTATGTAGCCCCCCTCTTATGCCCCTAGTCGCAGCATTTTGTCCTATGAAAACGGTGGTTATAGGGTTTTGGAGGATGGGAAAATAGGATAGGCAGGGACAAAAAATGTAAAAGGTGTAAAGTGAAAAAAAATGTAGTCGAAGTTGTTCCCCGCGGCCGCTGGGAGTAAGTTGTTCCGCATGTAAATTGAAGTAATGCGCGGCGCTTCGCACCGCGGACTATACTAATATAGCTCTAAAACGGTAAGTTAGACCTCAGGTTAGTTGAAGTAGACGACCGCCTAACCACTATTTCTATTTTTCGGGAATTTTAAGAAACCTGCAATTCGATAGTCGGGGTTTTCGGCAATTCGTTAAAAGTTAGTACAGATTAGGAAAATCTACAGATATAAATCTACAACACTTTTTAATACAATAAAATAAAAAAAATGCATTTAGCATTTATTAAAGTATATTCCACTGCGTGTGCTAATCCCCCACCCATGAAACCCTATAACCACCGTTTTCGTTGGAAAGCCTGTTGGAATTAGGGGTATATGAGGGGGCTACGTAAGCTTTTGTTGTCAGTTTTTCGTTTATAAATATGGTTTTACTAGGTTTAGTTTAGTGTTTAGTTTGTTAATTTTAGTTTAACCGACGGGGATGTTTGTAAGGAACCCTCACCCAGTATGCAAAACAGCCAGCCCCATGCGCCCCTCACTTTAGATTGAAGTGTAATTTCTACGCAAAGCGCATTTCACACTGCTATTCTCCGCGGTGTGTCTCTGTGTGTACTCACCACCTTCTCTGGTGGTGGTAGTATAGACAAACAAGCACTTGAGGTAAGTGGTGTGCCACTCATAAAACATTGCACGAACTCCTTAAAATGCGGTAGTACCTAGGACGACAGCATGGGGGAGCGGGGATGTGCCAGAATGGAGTGCTGTCACCTCTAGCCATTCCCATTCCCCAGCTGCGGGAGCAGATTTCACTCGGATGGTTCGGCACAATGACAAATCACGGGTAAAAGCCCATCCACGCATGTTTCGTGGATTTTCTGCCCGTTCGGCTCATTAGTCAGTAATCCGGCGTTTCTGGTGCGTGTGACTTCTGTTATACATTAGATTCACAATCTCCTGAAATTTTAAGCGAAATTCTCAAATATGTTTTCGATTCAAACATATTAATTGAGTAGGGTTGTAAGAATGCTTCTCATGCAATTTATTTCAATCACGTTAGGATGCCGGCTTTTGATGAAGCTCTTTTTTGACACCTCCTGCAATAGGTATATTCTGCAATAGAATGACTACTTATGAAGTGTGTATTGTTCTGATTGATTTTCAATGCCGTTATCAGTTGGAGTATATTTTCTAGAGAAAAAATATGCAAAGCATTCTTTCTTGTACTCGTTTGCCTCTTCTTTAAATTGCACACTTGAAGAAGGGCTATCTTTTGGTTTCAGAACGGTTTCTAATGGTGAGAAACTATTTTACGATCATGAAATGTGCACTCATAAAGTAACGTATCAGACCGTTTATTAATGCTGTCTATAAATCTACAGCTTGGTTCACCTAAATAAGAGAATTTAATGAGAAATATATGACATCGCTCTTGCACAGCAGGGAAATATTAAATGAGACGGTATTGTTGGTAGTTTAGCCTGACCAAATGCTAGCAACATTTGGAGGCTTTTCTGGGATGTCGAGCCTAGTCAAATGTCTTTGTTTGTTCGCTCTGACCGCTTACACGCGATGACTGTCTACGCGCGATGACCTTAACCTCTGGAGAGGACACAGATGCATGCGTGTCCAATAGTCGCATTTATCCCAATGCTTCCAATCAGGCTACAGGCGCACGCGCGTAACAATAGGTTATAACATACTGTCACCTCTGAGACAGGGGAGTTGCACACAGGACTGCGAGGACACTGTCAGTCCGCTCTCAATGCCGGGGCTTGCCCCCGAGGCGGGACAAAGAGCACGCTGGAGATCAACAAGTGGCAACAGCCACCCGGGACAGCAACTCCAAATTTTGTAGACAATAAACCCTCCTCCGAATGGATTCCAAAATTAGGCCCTTTTTATTGTGTCCTTCCTTGGGGATTCCAATGAGCATAACTAGACGGGGACACCACTGACGTCACTGATATAACAGTGGCGACGCAGGTGAGATGCTACCGTTATAACAGGTATGTCGTTTGGAGACCTTGAACTCAAGTGTAACGGCCGATAGGTTTAAACCGTATTCGGCAATTTGGAAACGTTTTTTTAAACCAAAAGGTTCCCACTTCTTCAAGTATACAATTTAGGGAATGCGTAATTTGCTCATTAAAGAGTACAAGAAAGAATACATTTTGCTTTTTTATATGAAATAAAATTTTTTTATGCGAACAGTGAAAATAAATGAGAAAAGTGCGAACTCCTTAAGTAGACTTTTTTCGCAGAGTATAATTATTGCAGACGGTCAGATATTCGTTTAAAAGCCGCAAATCTAACGCGAATATAAAGTGCCTCAAGTAACTTCCTGTCTTACGTTGGTTTTGCAAGTCTCCACCTCCAAAGTGTCCTATTTATATCCTAAGGCAAACCATTGTCGAAAGAACATCATACGCTATGTAATTTGTCGAATAAGTTGTGTATCCTATTGTATTCTCAAGGCGTATTGCTGATTAAAACAGTGGTATGAATCCTCAACTGTTATGGCGACTATTATAACTGTAACGAAGCCGGCAGTTATTTAATGCAAAACCAGAATATGCACTTGTATGACGGTATATCTTCATTAGGCGTCAAAGTTCACCCAACACTAACAGAAGTTGATGCAGAAGTAGAAGATGCGATTGCTGGAACAAGAAGTTTATTTTTCGTTTCGCATTCTGTCGAGAATCCTTCGTCAGAGTTAACCTTAAAATGGAGTGATGCATGCGCAGATAAGGGCGACATATGCATGGATTACGCAATATTTTTAGTTCGTAGCGGCCACCCCCATGGGTGCTATAATTATCAGCTCCCCTTAACCATCACTGGGGGTCGTAATCGGTGCAGTGGGGGCTTGACAGTCCGCTTCCGAGTCTTTAATTGCCGCGATTTCGCTGTCTCGGAAGCGGACTGCCAAGCCCCCACCGCACCGAAT